CAAAAAGCATACAGCTTTATTGAAATTTAAAAAAAGTCTACTATTATTAAAAAATGCCTTAAAAGAACATCTTACATGCTAGGCACTCAAAGAGAAATTAGTGAGGTAATTTGCAAAGAACAAGAACACACAATAAATTATTCAATTAAAGAAAGAATTTTACAGATTTGTTAAAGGATATTTTCTGATACAGTAAATATATGAAATGATAAGTTAATGAATAAGATACTTTTAGTTAATAACTAATTTAGTTTCTTGCTTAGACAGTCTGGTGAAGCATTTATTCTTTTCCACAGTGTTAATTGTACAGCATTAATAATGATATATAGATTGATATTCTATATATTTTCTCTGATTTAAATCATATAACATATACCTTAGCATATTTATAAAACTTTTTAAATTAAGTTTCAAATTCTATACTTCTATGCTTTACAAGTTATTTCACTAATCTTTCCATTCTTCTCATTGTATTCTATTCCACCCAAATATTCAATGTAAAGAACATAAACCCAGAATATGAAAATAAGATTATAAAACATTTTCAAAATCTAACATCTATGTATGAATTACAAATTGCACAATCTGTTTTATAGGAGTCAATGACTCTGATAAAAATTTTATATTTCTATGATATGTCAATAAAGTTGACAAATTAGGATAGGTTTATAAATATTTTATTAATATTTACAACTTCTTTGGTTAGTTTACATGCATTTTAAAAAGATAATCATTTAAAACTAATTTTACTGTACAAAATTTTTGAAATTACCAGACAGCAATATGATCAATACTGTAGATATACCTTTCATTATTAATTGTTAGTGTGTTATAAACATAATTACTACTTTAAAAAAATTACAGAAGTTAGTATGCAAACATTTGTTCAAGATATAAACAACTAAACCAGGAAAGATAAAAATAGGAATGAATATATCCAAATACTAAAAGATATAAAAATAAAAATTATATTGGCCCTCCCTTGTATTATAAATAGAACTAAACAACAAGCAAAACTACCAGAACTTTTAAGGACTTATTTCTGAAGCTATAGGAAACTTTACAACTAAAACATATTTAGTTATTATTTGTTTAAATTTATCAAGGTTTTTTTGGCTTAAAATTTGCATATATTTTGATCATTTATCATAAAATATACCAGAATGATACATTTAGTGAAAAATGCCGTTAATTTATATCAAAAACAATTATTCAATTATTAGTTTTACATAAAATCACTGCATATTTAATTTTAATTATAAAAATAATTATTATTAGTTTTAATTAAAAATATATTTGGTTCCTTTTAAATAAAATTATTATTTATGTAGTGCGCATAGATAGCTAATGACAATTTTTCATGTAAGAAAACTTATATGTATGAATTTGATATCATGACTGTGTAACAAATGCAAAATACATAGTAAATTATATAGTCATTCTCTATAAAATTTTTACATTTTATGTTTTAGTAAATAATATATGTCTTTTATGATCAGGGTTTTTCTTACTACTTACATCATACATATAATTAGATTTTACAAAACTGCTTATGTATGATGTAAGTAGTAAGAAAAACCCTGATCATAAAAGACATATATTATTTACTTCAACANGACCGAACTCCCAGTGTTTAGGGTACGAAGACCACTCGGCCACTGGTGGGCATTTTTACTAAAACACAAAATATAAAAATTTTATAGAGAATGACTATATAATTTACTATGTATTTTGCATTATCTACAGTGTTATAGGGGGATCGACTGTACAACATAAATTATAATTAGATTTTACAAAACTGCTTAATTTATGTTGTACAGTCGATCCCCCTATAACACTGTAGATAATTCCGTATTATATGAATTCCATGTTGTATGAGTCACTTAGATTTTACAAATACGTGTGCCGGGCTGTGAACGGCTCACGTATTTGTAAAATCTAAGTGATACGTACAACATGGAATTCATATAACACGGAATTATCTACAGTGTTATAGGGGGGTCTACTTGTACATTATAAAATCTTTCCAGCTGTAATTCTTATTAAAATTTTCATATATAGAATAAATTATGTCTAATTCATAACATTTTATGCAACGTCACTACGATGATTAATGTAAATCATATTTAAATACAGATGTATAATTAATACTGAATAATGTTCTAACAACTGGAAAAATAATTTATATCACTGATAAATGTTTTTAACACAAATTTCATTCTATCACATTTCTAATGCACCTGGCAACAAGATTTACACCTTCCATACAGTTATTTAATATAAAATACAAGTTAATTATAAAAGGAAATTAAATTTTTCCATTATTACAAACTATTCATAAACAGACAGAGTGAAATGAATACTTTTATAATGTATTAATTAATTAAATAATTTTGCATTAAAATTCATTTCTTCCTGTATATAGTTATGTTGATTATATATAAAAAAACCAAACAGATACTTAAAAAACATTGAATTAATAATACAATTTAAATTATTATTTTATTTATATGTCATTAATTAATTATATTAATTTCAATTAGATTAGCAACTTACAATTAAAAAAATAATACTAAAGTTTATATTTAATAATTGTCATTATAAAAATTATGCTATATCATATTTTGTTTGTTCAGAATGTTTTAAACTTTTAATCCTGGTTTTAAACTTTTAATCCTGTAATTAAATTTTAATATGAAACAGATAAACTAGGATAATAGAGAGAATTACTACATTTATTGATTATAAAAATACGGAATAATTTTAATCATAATTTATTTTGTTCAAGCTGTGAACATCTAAAATATAATCAAACTTATTGAGAACTGTAACATATTTACTTATATAATAAAAGTACATCATTTATAAGAAATTTCTTTTCTATACAAAATATAATCATCATATAGATCAGTGTTTATCAACTTTTTTCTCTTCAAAGACCAGTAAAATTATAAATAGAGAGGTTGAGGCGCACGTTTTAAACGTGTAAACGTGTACGTGTGACATTCGGTGTCGCTTTCCCCGTAAGCCTAAAAGTTTGACGATGGTGTTTGGAATGTCGAGCATGATTCCACCGACTATCCAAACACCATTGTCAAACTTTTAGGCTTACGGGAAAGCGGCGCCAAACGTCACATGTACACGTTTACACGTTTAAAACGTGCGCCTCAACCTCTCTAATAATTTTATAATTTTACTAGTGTGGACCAGTAATTAAATGCAACTATGAATTATACTCATTTATTATACTTATATATGCTTATTTAAATCTTATGTAACAAAGTACATACAATAACTCTACATTACTATTTAAATGTCAACTGTAATCAACTGTGCCAGTGTCAGTACAATGGAATATTTTTATAGACTGGAAACATTTTTTCACGAACGGGCAATTGAAAAACATTGATATAGATCATCTATATGTAGCATTTACCCAATTTCATATTAAGTTATAGTTTAACTATTAATTTTAAAAAAAATTAAACGTTGATTGTAAATGAACAACAATAAGATAAAAAACCATAGCCTAGATGTATTGTTTATTATATAGACTATAAAATTGTTCCCATTAAACATATATTTAGTAATGGTCACAATTCGAGAATTTAAAAGAAAATCTTCACAAATTTTGTTTCTTACATAATACTTACATAAATAAACTTGATATGTCATGCAGATAGCATTATTATCTATATACATAAATCATTAACAGGATATTTTAATCCTAACATATTTATTAATAAGATTTTATAATAATCTTTTCATGATCCATAAAATTTCATAACATAAAACCACAGAAAAAAAATTATATATTTAGACATCTAAAACTATTTCATTCCTACTTTATTCAAGCGACTTTAAACATTTAAAAGAATTTACTCCGATAAAGTTATTTTCAGCATAGTAAATCCTTAATAACACGAAAAAATGTAACATAAAAGAATTAAATACTCCCAATTCATTCTATTACGAAAACTGTGTATATTTTTCTATGCAGCTCGTGAATAATACAATTTAAAATTCATTCACCGCCCATTTACATTTGAAAAATCACTCAAAATTGTAAATTTCTAAAGATAACTAATAAATACTACTCGATATAGGAATAAAGTGAGCGAAATAGATATTTAAAGGACTTACTCCAACGAAGCCTCATTCAAGTTTTAATCAACATTTTACAAACTTATGATTAATTGATTGTAAATCAATAATAGTTATTTTTGGCATAAGAAATCGCTAATACGTATAAAAACAGAATGTGACGGCATCAGAAGAACGGAGAATCAGAAGGTAAAGTAACAGACGAAGGATCATCATAAGAATAAAAGATGAAACGGAAACAAAGCATCAGCGAGGCAAAACGTCGGAGAAAACGAACAAAAGTTTCTGCTCGACGTTTCTGGCATTCCCTCGATAAGAAGCAAAAATTAATTTAATTCTTCCGCACACATTCTCGCCATTTAAACGCATAAATCTTGGCAATTACCTGCGACAAAACAAAGCCACACGTAGATAATTCATAACGTTTATGACCTTTGTAATCAAACGAATCAGGAATGTCACATTGTGTTATAACTCGTGAACATATACCAATTTAAAGCTTTATTAACAGCCAGTTTACATTTGGAAAGCTCTCCCTACAGAATTTTTAAGTATATATTTAAAAAATACAGCAGAAGAACATTGCAAATTTAGTATATTTGTTAATATAATTATAATTGGATTTCAGTCTAGAACACTAAGCAAATAAATAGCCAGTAACAGGGATAAGAAGGAATGAATATCCTGTAGGCCGTGCGATAAACATTAATCGAGAGGTCATCGTCTTTAACACGTTACAAATTTCTTTCTTCTTATGCATAAAGGAATTAATATTTAAAAATTTAAATATATATACGTCATTTCGTACGTCATACCTCACCCTATAATTAGAAAACATGACATATATGGACTTAAGACTAACTTTAGGCTTAGAGTTAGGAGGAAACTTTACTCACCGCTCCTAATTTTAAACGTAAAACATAAAAGCACGACTAAGAACAAGTTGGTTTGTATCATTTCTCATTGATTTCGCTTGTAATTCGGTGCCGAAAAGTATACAGACGTTAAGGAAGACAATAAGCTGCGACGGGAGACCAACCTTTTCTTAAACAACTTTCGCTTTTTTTCTTTTTTGTTTTATTATTTATTTATTTTTTTTCTCTCTCTCTCTCTCTCTCTATCCTTCCGTTCGACGAGATTACACCTGGTGACGAATTTAGGAATTACTGTGTTCCGTCGTCTGGAAACGACCCGCTGCATTCCATTTTTGTATTGCAAAACTACTTCCGCTTCAATTACGTGGATTATTTTTTACGCTTTGACTTCATTTTATTTTCTTTTTTTTTTCGGTTGGCGATTTCGGTAACTGAGTTACCGTTTTTGGTTTGTTTTATTTTTTGTTATAATTATTATAATATATATATATATTTTTTTTTCTTACAGTTCTGCATTCCTAAATATATTGCGTATTGAGTAAATAAAAGAAAAATGAGTGCATCCGAAGAAAATTAAATAGAGAGTGTAAGAAAGTAAAGCATCGGAGGAACGATGGATCGGAGCAGAATGGAGAGTCAGAGTAATCGGGAGTCAGAAGAAAGTGAAGCATCGGAGGAACGATGGATCGGAGCAAAATGGAGGGTCAGAGAGATGGAGAATCAGAAGAAAGTGAAACATCAGAGAAGGAAGTTCAAGAACGGAAACAAAATAAAGCATAAAATGAATGAAGGATCAGAGAAAACAAAGAGTTAAATGATTGGGTGATCAGAAGTGGCAAAAAGAACAATTGCCTGGGGCCTGACTAACAGGGATTTATCTTTTATACGAGTAATCTCATTATTGTAATAAGAATATCGAAATTTAACTTTGAGCCGTATTTGTGGATCCGCAGGCGTAGAACAGTACTGGGCGATTCACCCAAAAAAATTCCCTGAAGGAAAATGTTTGAAATCAACACTGTACATGGGGCGCTCTAATTCTAATTTTTTTGGACCACCATGAAGTTATAAGGCGGCACTGAAGATCAGAACAAAATGAAGCATTAGAAGAATGAAGTTTCCGATGAAAGTGAAGCATCAGCGAAATTGAGAATCAGAAGAAAGTGAGATATCAGAGGAGACGGATGGAAATTCAAAACAAAATGAAGCATAAAATGAATGAAGGATCAGAAGAAAATGGGGCGTTAAATGAGTGGTTGATCAGAACAAAATGAAGCATTAGAAGAATAAAGGATCAAACGGAAATGAAGTATCAGTAAAGTCAGAGAAAAATGAACACGAATTCGTTTCGTGTTCTCTGATGCTTTACTAATTAGAAGAAAATGAAGCAAAAATTAATTTTATTCTTTCTCCTATACTTTTATATATATGCCTACAATTTAAATATTTCTTAAATTTCTCGATTTCAGCAATAAAAATAATTAATAAAACCAATAGTTAAAAATATAATTTTTGTTGTTTTTTTCTGTAGGAGCATCTAACTTAAAAGAATTACATCTGAAAAGTGGCTTTTATGAGCTTATTTTCTCTTACATTCTCTAGTTACTGTCTGTTTCTTCTCAATAATAATTTTATCAAATCTTACGAAATATGAATTGCTAGAAAAAGGTGTAAGTTGATATGAGCGTATCATTTATCTTATTTGCCTTTTTATTATGCGAATATTAAACTATGTTTAGTATAAAGTATCATTTATTTGTAAGTGTTTTTAAATATAGTTTTATTTTATACTATTTTATCTCAATTTTCTATTTATCTATGGGTCTGGAATTCTTATTCTTAGAATGTAACACTGTAAGAACTGTAATATTTTAATAATATTCGTATTTAACTTCAATCAGGTTAAGGTTCCTAATTAAATACTTAAGTCTACTGTAAAATTGAGTCAAAGGACTATTAATTTTAATGTCGTATAATAAAATTAAGTAAGAGTAGACTTTACTTCTTTACTCGATGATTCTGTAATCTAGAATTATTCTGTTCTTTTATTACAGAGAATGACTCAAGTGTGTTTCAAAGATCAAAAATCTTCTAAATTAAACTTTGCATGAGGATTATATATTAAAGTTCCTGCATTTTTAATTGTTTATTAAGCGTTATTATTCATTCTTAGGCATATTTCTTAGTATGCATTATAATTAGATGAAACTAAAGAATTATGTATGGTTATAGAACGATATTGATTTTATAGAAGCATTTATTGTATTGTAATGTAACATCGACACAATACAGAGAAATCTGTATATATTTAGTGTAATTTTCGAAAAATTTCAGCTTAGTTTATCTAATGAAAGTAATGGATATTAAAGTAACAGAAAAAATGCACTAAGTTTGATGATGACCTCTTAGAGAATATTTGGCAAAGTGAGGTCATTCACTCTAACTGGAGAGATGTGCTGTATAAAGGAGAATGAATAAAACCTGTCTGCACTGCGGGAAATACACTATAAATCACTTTTAATTTCAATAATAGCGTGTACGAGTTGGTAAATTGCGAAATAGTTATAATATATCACAAATTAAAATATAATTTTATATTTCGTTCTGTTAAATACTTTGCTACTGACTACAGAATAATGTCTAAAATTAGAATACTTTAGAATGTAGATACTTAATTTTCTGTTACTGTAATTTTTACATATTTTAATGCATTTATATATTTTATATCTAGAATATAATATTTACAGCTTAGTATTAAAATATACTAATTTATTTTTTAATCTTTTCGCTTTGTAGGCACTAATGGAGCCTATTAACAAACCCATTGTGAGTTGACCAGATCCACAATAGAAGAATGAAAAATTCGCATTGGGTTGTTGATTTTCACTTTTATTGTGTTAAAATTCTTTCATTAATAATGCAATATTAATGAAATTTCCTGTCTTAGATTTTATTAGCTGGCATTATTGCGAGGTTACCAGACAATATGCTAAAATTTTCACAGGCGAATCCAAGTCCATCTAGAATGTTTCAGTATGTTAATCGGCAAAGACTTATTAAAGATATTTTTTTCATTAATTAAATACAATAAAATAATAATTATATAAACAAAGTAATTACATAATAGTTTTTTAATTATATTCTTGTAAAAGAGTAATAATTGTTTGATTGAGACATTTGTAAAAATATATATATATATATAGAATATCAATTGCGTGTGAAAGATAATGGAATGGGATAAAACAGCGCAATACGAAAATAATTTGTCAAGGGGATACCTTTCAGGAGGAATTTTCATTTAGTTTACCAGACACACGAAGAAATCCCGGAAAATTTCACACGGCTAGCCCATTAGTCATGTCTGGTACCAACCTGTATTTGGTGGTTCAGTGGTTTTATTTATTTGACTACTGGTTGGCGTGCATGGTAAAAAATCAAGCCTTCTCTGCTTGTAACTTAATATTATAATTCAGTATATATATAACTCTTTTCTTCCTACAAATACTAACAAGTAAGATGAGGCCTACCAGCGGACAAGCGGTTCCATTCCCTGAACACTGGGAGTTCGGTTGTGGATTCGCGCCTCGCCAGAATGGGCTGGCCACGTGAAGTTTTCCGGATTTTCTCCACGTCTGTAACTCATGAATAGTGGTCAGTTACTCTTAAAAATACCTCTCGGAAAGCATTTTCCTAGGCATATCGCGCTGACGTTACTTAAGAAAAGAAACAAACAAGCAAGATGATCTTTATTGCAGGTCCATAATGAGGGTGATGTCAACCTACCACCGTTGAAGACTTTCAGATTTTATAATTTATCACGAGAATTACGTAGAAGGAACATTCCCGAATTCCACTGATATTGGTTCGACCGTACTGTGGATTAGAATCGGTCGTATAGAATGAAATTGTACAGGTAATAGTCTGCAACGTGCTGGTGCCTCGCATTAACAATCAGTAATATATTTATTCAGACAAATTATATGTTTATCATTCATATTTCCAAGAAATTTATTTCCCTGGAATAAAATAAGTAAACAAACCTTTGATAAAAAGTGAAAAATATTTACGTAATCCACTTACATTTGAATAATTAACCCATTTACAAGTCGACCCCCTATAACACTGTTGATAATTCAGTTTTATATGAATTCCATGTTGTACGAGTCACTTAGATTTTACAAATACGTGTGCCGTTCACTGNCGTAAATACAGTCGACCCCCTATAACACTGTTGATAATTCCGTTTTATATGAATTCCATGTTGTACGAATCACTTAGATTTTACAAATACGTGTGTGACAACTACAACTACAACTATGTGAGCCGTTCACAGCCTGGTACACGTATTTGTAAAATCTAAGTGACTCGTACAACATGGAATTTATATAAAACGGAATTATCAACAGTGTTATGGGGGTCGACTGTATATGATTCTATTATGTAAGTAATTCTCATTTGATTTTGGACAAAACTTTATTCTTCTATGAGAAAATTTCACGGTTATGTTGAATATTATCTGCATTTACATATTTAATGAAATAATTTTTTAAATATAAAATCAAATGTGGCCATAATGAAGTTTTGTTATGCCATATATTTAACCACATTGAAATTAATGCGATAAACACTCACACAACATAGAAGTTCAATGAAATTTTATATGTCCAAACAAAATATTATTATAAAATAAATATTACCAACAAGTTCAAAGTACTGATTTATCAAACAGGGATAGAATCAGTGAGACAACTAAAAGCAATCTATGGATTTTATCACGTAACGATACAACGTTATCCTTTGGAACTTGGAATATTAAATATTTTGATATAAATGATGAATTATAATAAATATATTAATTAAATATCTTAATTTTCAATTTTAAATCCAATTCTTCCAAATACAGATTAGGATTAGGCCGGGAAACGTAATACATGGTCTGCCAAGAGGAGGCCCACCAGTGTTTAGTGGATAAAACTACTGAACACTGGTAGTTGGTCGTGGGTTCTTCACGTTAGTAACACCTAAATAGAAAGGAGTTCCTTTAAATGACCTCCCGGGAGGCATCCCTCCTTGGCAAATCGTTGTTGTATAGCCTACATATAAAACCATTAAAAAAAAAGCCAAGAAGGATGCCTCTCGGGAGGACTTTTAAGAGAAACTTGTCCCTATTTAGGTGATAGATATGCGAAGAAATTCCAAAAAAATCTTCTGTCTGTCGGGAGGGAATCGAAAATTACTAATGTTCAGTAGTTTTATACACTTATTACCGGTGGAAGCGAGAAAATAGAAAAATATGCAGCGATTTATGGATATAAGAATGGCATCAAATAATATAATTTTAGATCATGTACCTTATCTTACTTCCATTGAAAGGAATTTAAATTGTCAATGAAGAATTATCGTGTTTAGCGATGACAAAATTTGTCATCAAGTAATTATGTTGATGTTCTAAAGTATAAAGATGAAGGTACAAGATATACATTTATATTTTGACTCTTAAATACAGCTAAGATAATTTATGATACGGTTTCATCGAGTTTAAAATGGCCTTAGAAAATGTTGGATCCAGTGGAATTTCATCTGTTTTTAAAAAAGTATAACGTAGAAAAAATCCTGAATTTTTTAAAATTTTGTAATATAATGTTAAATGTCTGGCAAAAAAGGACTTTTCCTTTACTTCATCAGGAGATTAAGGGGATCATGAAAAAAATCCGATAATTTACAGTTATATTAAGAAATAAAATTTAAATAATAACAAAATCTTAAGAGAGATAATTTTGCTTATTAATGAGAAATGTCTCTGTCAAAAAAAAATAATAAATAATAATAATAATAATTTAGGCATAAAAATACTAATGAGGTAACATAAAGTAAAAATTGTATGTGGCGCCATCTGTTATGAAATCTTGTTAAGAAAATAGTGTAAAATTTTGTAAAAATGCTTTTTAAGCCGTGATTGGCTGTCCATATTCTGAAAGATGCTGTTTTAACGAATAAGAATCTTGTCAGAACCGTCTAGTTAAAAATTTGGAGCGAAAGTTACCGCCATTTTTTGTGTCCTTGGAAGAAATATAAACGAATGCTAAATTGTTTGTTTTATTTTTGTTTACAAGTTCTAATTAGGCAATTTTTAGTTGTTTGACATTCTTTAATAGAGCATGCATCTTGGCAGAGTCGTCTAATTTTAAATTACTGGCGAAAATCAACATTTCTTTTATTATTACGAAATACAGGATATCTCAGAGATGGGCAAGTCATGCTAATCCTCGAGATACCCTAAATATCTAGGTCCCACCTAGCGTACAATGGGCGTAAAATGCCCATCGTTCTCTAGATAGGTCCGGCATTTTAGGCCTGAGTGCTGGGTGACTTCCCCATAAAATCTATAATATATACAATTATCATCAAATCATTAAAAAATCGTAAATACAGTCGACCCCCTATAACAACATTGATAATTCCGTTTTATATGAATTCCATGTTGTACGAATCACTTAGATTTTACAAATACGTGTGCCGGGCTGTGAACGGCTCACGTATTTGTAAGATCTAAATGACTCGTACAACATGGAATTCAAATAAAACGGAATTATCAACCGTGTTATAAGGGGGTCGACAGTATGTGGAGAAATCTAAACGATTATTTAAAAAAAACTGAAAGATAAAATGGAACCTTTTTTATTTTTTCGTAATTTAATACATAAAAAGTTTTGAAGAAACGTATCGATTAGAAAAATATAAGATTGAAATTCATATAATGTTCATAAATTCAAAACAATTATCAATACAAAACACAAGTAAAATAAAATACAAACGTATTTACAAAATCAGAAAAAGTATCAATTAATTTTAAGAAAAAACAATGAATGAAGTTATACTAATCTTTATTTTCATGTAACACTTACAATGCATCAATAACTTTACTCTTTAATTCTGGTACTTTACCTGCCACAAGTGCATCTAATAATGTTGTAGATGGAAGTTTGCCTGTTATTTCTTCATTGATGATCTTTTCTTTAAGGGATCCTATCCCTGGTACAGCGGGTACATCGCCCAATATCGCTCTTTCCACAATTTCTTTTCCTGGTAATTTACTCAATGCTGTTTCACCCAGTTCAGTTGGAATTTCGACTAAATGATGTGGCAATAATTTCTTTTCCAAAATGTCTGATTTCATTTTATCAAGTGTTTCATCAATGCCAATCCTTTTTAATATTCTATCGACCAGGTGCGATTTCAAAGTTCCATCACTTCTTACGAAAATTAGCCCTGTAAACGAAATTTATATTGAGTTTTATCTAAAATTTTACTTTTTCTATCTACTGAATCCATTGGAGAAAACTCGGTTATGAAAAAGAATCAAACCTTTAGCAATTACATAATATAACGATATACTCACCGGTAACAACGAATAGAAGAAACTGTGTGTTCATATTTGCTTGGGTTACTTGTTTACTAATTGTAACAATTCCTTTGCTCGTCTTTTATATATAAATTAACACGAAATGATGTAATTTTACACCCCAGAACATTTAATTGTAAAAAATCAATTTCCGATAGTTCGCATGAAATTGTTATAATTATACATTCCAAGCAAAATTACGCAGTTACTTCTATTGTTTTTTTACTTCATTATGTACGTATTTTTGAAGTGTCACGAACTCTAATTCGAATTCCATTTTTCTATCAGTTTTCTGTAATTTTACGCTGTTTACTTAATTTAATTTTTAATCAGAGTTTTGTACGTGTGCTTCAATGTTTATACATTTAAAATATGTAAATTTTTGTATAATATACAGTATACAATTTGTTTTTACTTTCTCCATCTTAAGGGGGGCCATTTTTTTAAAGATTATTGTGACCACAATCAGGCTTGAAATAATGTGTCTGGACTTTAGAGTACAGATCACCCCAGAAAATCTAGGATTGATCGCCCTTATTCGATCATGGATCCCTGTGAGCGACATTTTGAAAGTTTAACTTCTTTTGCCAGATCATTAACAATTTGTATAAATATGAAATTTTGTTTTAAATCTTTCATTAAGGAAAACAATTTAAGAAATAATTTAATCCCTATTCTCTTATATAATTAGAAAGATAATGACTTTCACCTCAATGTTACGTGGTACTGTAACAAAGTCATGAAACGTTTAATTAATAAACAATATATTTATTAAAGGAAAAAAAATAATAGGATGAATTACGTAAGTAAATTGGATTCGATTTTGTAAGTGCTTAATACTTGTAATTACACACACAATATAATTATATAATTTAATTAAAACTCGAATTTATTTAACTTCAGTTTTAAATTATATCCACTTAGTTTTACAAATATTTTATTTGGTAAATGTTGTGAGATTGATCCTTTTTAGATAGTTTTTTTTCTGATTTATCGTTTACTTTATTAACAATAACACATATTTTCTTAGTTATATACAGTAGAGTTCGATACATGCCGTACATAAACTGTATATAGGCAAAGGAAACAAATTTTACTCATCAACTAATAGGTGAAAAATGTGAATTTCTTAATAATATATATATTTAAAAACAAGAGAAAGGGAAGAGAGAGAGAGAGAGAGAGAGAGTTATTGTTTTAAATAAGCTATAGGTTAAGTAACTTTATATATTGAGATATCCATAATCCATAATGTAATTAACCAAGACTGTTAGTCAGATCAAAGCACTTAAAGTTTTTGATTAATAATATTTTAATACGTTATAAACTAATTTAATAAAACTTATATCAATTACTGTTGAATGTTTATGTAATGTACACTACATTATTATGACGTTCACGTTGCAACATAATATAATATTACCCGTTGCAGTCTGGCATGGTGGTTTGTGTATTAGAGGGATTAATGCTATTAAATTTTCCTGGTTAAATGTCACTCATATATGTATGTATTATATTACCACTTAGCGGCACGTTTAATGATTTGTATCGTATATCGCTAACACTTATTGAGAATGTTTAATAAATAATTCATTTGGAAAATATTCCTAATGTTCAAAAATTAGTTCAAATATTTTTCTCTTTATTTTTTGGTATATAATTTGGCTTTTATTTAATTTCGGTGTAGTTGAGTCCAATTTAGAAAGCACAGGATAAGGGAGTAAGTTCGCTTAAGAGAACATTCTTCCTACTTTTACATTAGCTGTTAACAGAGCACCATATTGGCATTTTTCAAAGCAGCAGTCTGCATAAGGGAGATTTAAATATGTGTGTATTTAACCTTATGGAACATGGGTCTTGGCGATACTATTCTATGGTCATGGGCATCCATATAAAATGTTTTGGGAGAGCCGAAACTTAAAGAAAAATAATTACATAAATAGATTTTTATTTAAAAAAGGAGCCGTATCATATCGCTTCTACAGTATTCTTTTTTAACGTTCCATTATAATTTGTAATTAACAATTATTATTAACTAGAAAGTACTAAGCATTGTAGTAAATCTTTCGCACATTGACATATCTATATCAACAGTTACGTTGTTGCACGCGGGCTGAGAACTACTAGTTTGGTTTTATTCGTACAGTAACGCTAAACACGGGCAATCTGTCACGGAAGGAATGCCTCCCGTGGAGGTTTAAAGGAAATTGGCTCATATTTAGGTGTTAAAAACGTGAAGAGAACCCGAAAAATCCCACCGTTGGCCAGGTGCAAACCCACGACCAAATGTTTAGTGGTGTTATCAACTCAGTCGCATGTGAGAACCACTGGATTATTAGTTTTTTATGCAGTATCATGTGAAGATATTAAAGGAACTGATAATTACAAAAAGAGCAAGTCTACTACAATTGAAAAACCGCATAAAATAAGTTCTCTTTCAGTAATTCTCTTATATTAATATTAATACAAAACATCGAAATTTGTGAAAGATTAATACCATTTGAGTAAAAATTAATAATACACTAAACTGCAACATTCTAATAATGTATGGAACATGTTCTATACTTAACTAATACTCATATCAAATTGTGTTTATGAAGTACAGATTCACGTAACAAAATTTGAAAATATAAATCGAAACGAACAATACTTCTTCTTGGTAATTTTTAACAAAGAATTTCTGCATTTTTCAAGAATTATAACAATTTTCAATTGTTTCAATTGTTAAGCAAATGCCGCGCTGCATACAAAAAGTCCTTTGGGAAATGCCGAATGATAATAAGAAGATAAAATGGTAAATTTAACGAATAAATTTTTATAAATCCGAATTCTTTAAAATTAAATAGAAAATAATCGAATTTCTTGTAAGGCGAAGCTGTGTGAATTAATAACATAAATGATAATTATATTATGTAAACATAAATGATGGGCTTCTATTTTCTTTAATAATTCAGGGTTCCTATTCTCGAGTATTAATTATTAATGATGTATATCATAACAGCCGGGAAAGTTATACAACTCGTTGTTAGATTTTTTTATCTATAAAGTTCGAAAGATTTTAACATTTTTCTTACTAAATCGGGTAAGAATATATTTGAAATACTGTACTTATTTTAATAATTTTTATTGTTATCGTTAGAACGTCCATGATTTGCGTACCACAGAGTGTGGTTCCTTGAAGCAATGTGATTCCCAATTGCAGACAAACGATTCAAAGAAAAACGGAAATTCTACAGAATTCTGCAGAAATATATTCCAAAAAATGTTATGTTGCTGTCGCAAACAGAACGATACATCCGATTCACACGTAAGATATCATTTCTTTTTCTGTCGTCCATCGATTACAGAATTTCATAATAAATTGTATGATTATGCAGAATTGTGGACAAGAAAATAAACTTTCAGACACTAAATTAAATTCTGATCATTCATCGAAACGTAAACGAAATATTATTGGTGAATACGAAATCATTAAAGAAATAGGCAATGGACATTTTGGAGTAGTGTATTTGGCTCGGCCTAAGAATTCCGATGAACAAGTGGCTTTGAAAGTAATCAAGAAGAAAGAGTGTTGCCATAAACAGGTTTTCTTTTAGATTTGCTTTTGATATTGTTCGTTTTTACCTGGATTAAAAACAGTAGTGTTGTAAATTACGGATTGGATAAGACAACGCAACACTATGGTAGTCTGCCAAGAGAGAATGAGGGAGGACTTCTATGAGAAACTGACCTCTAATGAGATAATACACCAGGGACGCCTGTACATTTGAGCACTTGAGCACCCTCTTTTTGCCCTTTTCTTAATCCCCAAGGATAAAATGATATAAAATGTTTTTTTTTCTGGTTTCATAAACACAACTGAAATTTATATAATAATTTGTATTCGTTTATTGTTGATACACTAATTGCAAGAGAAATCTATATTCTGTAAACATAAATGATAAATGTGTAGAGGATATTTTAAATTTATATTTTGTTTATCTTGATTTAGCTGTATAAAATAACGAGAGAACACACTGCATGGAGCTGTGTGTCAACTCATCCACACATTGTAAGATTAATAACCTTCTTCGAAATTAATACTAGGTAAATTTTAATTCCATTCACATTAGTAATTAGTAATTATTTATTGCAATGGTGTAAATAATTGCATTTTTTTCAGTTTCTGTTTTGTCTCGGACTATATCGATGGACAGAATTTGACAAATTTCTTACGTAACAATGGACCATTAGTAGAAATCAAAGCGAACATTATTGCTGCACAAGTGGCTTCGGCCATTATGTACATTCACGACAAAAGTGAATTTTCTAAACGTATTTATTAATTTATTTCTCTTTTATATGTATCTACTATATGTAAAAACTGTTTCTATCATTAACAGGAATAATTCACAGAGATATTAGCTCAAATAACATTATGTTAGATGACACCAAAGGTGCTCAGCTAATCGATTTTGGTCTGTGCACGGTAAGTCAGGTATAGTGTTGCTATAATTAAAGTTTTCGGAATAATCTAATTTTAGCTCCTTCAGTGGTAGTTTTTAAAGTAACTTTTGTTTATTGTTTTGGCAAAATCCTTTTCCACATCCTTTGTTTAGTCTGTATACAAATTTTGGTACCAATTCTTTTATCGCTTACAGCTATAGTACTATGAATAGGAAAACCTTAACTTTATAACCTAATTGTCCTTGAATTGTAAATGTCTTATTACCTCACAATTTTTGTTTTCTCAGTTCGATCTTAATCCCAAGGAATTTTGTGGAACTTTGTCTTATTTATGTCCCGAAATTCTTCAGGGGAAGCCATATGGTAAGAAATTCTATTCAAATTTAATTGTTATATTTCGTTCCCTCGTGTAATTAATATATTATTTATAGATGCTTACTGTGACTGGTGGGCATTTGGCGTTGTGTTGTATCAGATGTTAATAGGGAAAACACCTATGAGAATTTATGCTAAAAGAGTTATGAATATTGAAGATCCCAAAATATTTTCCCATACCAAAAGAATACGAAGTGAGTTATTATCATTTCTAAATTGTTAGCAATAAGCGATGAATATTATTATTATTATTATAAAAATATTTTTCCAGTTGCTCAAGAGGTTGAATTGTTATATCCTATACAACTATCAAAGTATGCAAGAAAAATAATCGAAGATTTGCTACAAAAAGTAATTCATAGTAAATTCGTTTTGCATCTTAATGGTAAATTAGGTTAGCAAATAGAATATTGGTTTTTTACATATACGTAATTACTGGTTGCCTCTATTATGGTTATGACCAAACTGTAATGGAGGAGCAGGATTGTGAGGGTCGATAACATATTCGGGACAAAGTTCCTATGAAAAATTCCCGGAAGATGCTCTACCGTATTCGAACCCGGATATCCCAAAGCGGTAGACTGATGTCTTCATTGTTATGCCCCTTCGGCCGTCCTGTTTATTATTTTTAAACTAATCTAACACACTTTACAAATGAATATATAATAATTTATATAAGTAGACAAGAAAAACTATAATTATTATTGATATTAATAATTTCAGGATCCAAGTAAACGTCTACGAGAAACAGATATAAGGAGACACAAGTTTTTTGACAATGTACCATGGCCAGAGATTGTACATAATGTTTAGTATTATTACATTTTTATTATTAGAAATAAAAGTAATTGTTTACACATTTTTTAATTTGTTAATTGACTGAATTTTACATAATCAAACATAGTGTTTGATAAATGATGAGCAATTCTTCTGTAACCCGTTTCCGTATCATGTCTTAGGTACGCTGTTTTGTAACTATGTAAGTCTTTGTAATTATGGGTGATATATCTGTGGTCAGTCCTTCATATTAGTTACAAAAATTACTGTCACAGAATATTAAACTTTATTACACAGGCTTGCCGGTGAGTTTACAATAACAGTGATTAATTTATCGGTAGTAAAACATCGCTCATCGCTATTTGCTATACAGTGCAATCGTAAAGTCTTTCTTTAGTAAACCACGCCATGTGGCTCGGCCGAATGGTGACGTCATAACTTACTTTAACTCCTTCGATCTTAAATCTGCCTGTAACGTCATAACGTCATTACTTCATTCCCGAAAGCGCCTCCGTTTCCCGCCCACTGCGAAGAGGCTTTACTATCGTACTGTATAATAATTCAGACTATTTTCGATATATGACACATGAATCTATATCACCAGCAATCCATAAAGTGGCCGAATGGATAAAATCATTGAACACTAGTAAGCTGGCCACGTAACGTATTCCGTGCTTTCTTCACGTGTTTAACATCTAAATTGGGGACAGTTTCCCACAGAAATTTTTTCGTGGAGGCTTACCCGTCGGCAGATTTCCATCATTTGGCGTTACCGTAACCAAATAATTCCTCATCCTTTCAATGTATTAATCTAAATATATAAAATTATTTGTTCTGGCTGAATGACTGATTCATCATTGCCCAGAGCAAACCACTAAACCTAAAGAGGTGGAATTTGGTACACAGTTAGAGTATGTCATGAAAATGCACAATAAGAAGGGACTTTTCGAAATTCCCCGCGGTGGGAGATAGAGAGGATTAAGTCTTAACTGGAAAAATGGCTTCTACTGTACTATTTTAGATGCGTTTTTAACTGTGTATTAGTAGGATACGCCATGGGAATGCACACTAAGAACGCCGTTTTTCCGGATAAGCTTTGATGCTCTCCTCTCCTCCCGCGGGAGAATTTCGAAAAATCCCTTCTTAGTGTGCATTCTCATGACGTACCCTACTGAAACGCAGATATAAACAGAAAATTGCATCTAAAATAGTACAATTTGGTACTTCCGTCCGCCTTGCAAACGTAGTTTTAATCGCGAGAAAACTTTATTTATCTATATCAGTGTTTTTCAACCTTCTTGAATACGCGACCCTCTTACAAGTTAAAAAAAAAAAATCTGGCGACTCCCCAGGGCCATATTAAGACTATATCAGTGATTTTAAAAACTATGTATTTAATATTCTTTCCGTTGAGACCAAAATATCGATCGAAAAACCAATTGTACTTTAAAATAAAAACGCAAAGCCTTCTCACTAAAATTGTAGTTTTATTTATTGTAGTGTAGGACCTACAAACACTTGTCTTTTTCTTTTACCCGCGACCCCCCGTGTAAGGCTTTGCGACCCCCCATGGGGGTCGCGACCCACAGGTTGACAAACACTGATCTATATCTATATCTAATCTATATCTATCTATCTATATATATATATTAAAATGGACATGTATGTCCAGTGGTGATATTCAGCGGGTTCGCACAGATTCGGCCGAACCCGTTGTTAAACACACGTAACATTTCTCAGTGATTTTGTTTCTTTTAAAAAAATATATTAAAATATACGTATTATACTCTGTAACACTACTAAACTAGAGCCTTATACCCTATTCGTCTAGTGCAGGGGTTGCCAAACTTTTTTAACCGTCGACCCCCAATCACTTTCCAAAGCCTCACATTGACCCCCAGCGTAAAGTTTTATTACAAGTGTATATGTATGAGCGAAAAAAAAAGGTTGTGACCCCTTAACCGATCGACCCCCAATGATGTTGCATGACCCCTCGGGGTCTATATCGACTACTTTGGCGACCCCTGGTCTAGTGCAATCTCCATCGACCGTTTCAATCTCGACTAAAACGAGGTTCAATCGCGATCGACTCGAGAGAGTTCTGGAAACTAGATCCAGTCATAAGAGAGATCCCACAATCCCACGCGCGCGAGAAAATACAAGATGGCTGCGGAGCACATGTCGGACTATCAACAGCGAAATAAGAAAGATATTGTATTTCGAGAGACAATGACATTTGTCTATTATTATAATAATACCTAACGATAAAATAAATGATTTAGTAAAGTTTTTCTTGTTTAACTGCTTTCCCTATGACTTTTTCTGACTGGACGTAATAATTCTCTACTTAGTCTGGAAACGGGGGACCTAATTCTTGCATTCTGTGAAAACGGGTAAGATTGGCTATAATGTAATTATCTTAATCTTCACTATCGTCACTTTTTGCCCACAAATAAAAACCCAGCGAAGCGGGTCCTTGCAGCTGGATTCTAGATTACTTAGAAAAACAGTGTTTTATATATAAAACAAACTATATTACATACAAATGTACGAACAAATAAAAACCCAGCGAATCGGGTGCTTGCAGCTAGTCTAAATATATAAATTACTTGTCCTGACTGACTGCATGAATGAATGAATGACTGATTCATCATTGCCCAGAGCAAACTGCTGAACCTAAAGAAGTGAAATTTGGTACACAGTTAGGGTACGTCATGAAAACGCGCACTAAGAAGGAATTTTTCGAAATTCCCCAGCAGGGGGAGAGGGAGTGGATTAAGGCTTAACCGGAAAAAAGGCTTCTACTATACTATGTTAGATGTGATTTTTCGTTTTCAACTACGTTTAATTTTCATTGAGTACTTAAATGTAAAGCTGGTCATTATTAATTAACGTGAAGAAAACTGCACGTGGCCAGCTTGTTGGTTGTGCCCAAACCCACCGAACACGGGCACGGGTAGTCGGCCGTGGGTTTGCTCATGGCCAACGGACTGGCAACGGGTACTTTTCTGGGTTATTTTCGCGTTTGAGCGCATATAAATAGGGGACAGCTTCACACGAGTCTTCCCGAGACGCATATTCCTTGGCACACAAAGTAAATAAATCAAACAAATTCTGATAATTTTTCTATAAACGCGATTTTCACGTGGACATAACACGACATTTGACACGATATATGACGCGATATACGAAGCGATATTTCAGACATTTATAACAATGTCTGAAATATTGATAACATTTCAAACATTGTTATAAATATTTTTATCTATTTCGATTTTTAAAAAGTTCGAACTGTTTTAAATTCGAATTTATTTTTTTATTTTTTTTTTTGAGGTTTTAGGCCCCTTAAAGCTCAGAGAGCACAAAGAGGCCAAAATTCGAATTTGTTATTGCATATTGGTTCGATTATAGAACGATTGTAAACGTTCCAGAAAATTGATCAAATTGAAAATAGTTCGTTTAATTACAATTTCCTGGATAAAATTATGTTTTATACAATAAATTATCCAGGTGGATTTTCCGGGTATAAAATTATCTTTTAAACAATAAATTATCCACGTGGAGTTTTTCGGGTTTTCTCCACGACTCTCCACGTAGATAATTTATTGTATAAAACATAATTTTATACCCGGAAAACTCCACCTGGCCAGCTCGAAAGGATAACGTAAATTGGGACGAGTTTCCCTTAAAAAGATCCTCCAGGAATCATCGCCCAAGTGTTGCGATGCCATAACAAACTAAGAAAAAAATGTGAAATTTTGCATCTCAAACGATAACACAATCATCTTTGGAAGGAGTTATTCAAAATTACAATAGGCGTTTGGAGGATGGAGAAATCACCCCCGAAAATTTGCATCTGTATAGTTGCAGGAACTTCTTTATTTGCGCGAGGTCACTACTGTAACTCTCGATCCGAGGAGCATAGCGTTGCTCTAGGTCCATAGTTCCTTGATTTTTTTTTACCGAAAACTTTCATGTTTCTCAAAACACAATACAACTTGATGAGAAGCAGATTTAAATAAGTAGCTACAAAAGCTATTACAGAAAAGAAAAAAAAATAACTGCAAGAACCTGTTTAGCAAGTTGCGTATACATTGGGAGAAGTGTGAGGATGCAGAAATACTTCAAATGTATTTCAAGATTTTCCGTGTTGAGATTAAAACACGTCTTGATTTGGTTTTAATTCCACACATATAATAAAAGAGCCATTTTTGTAAGTAGCAAATTTATTGTAATAATTTGATATTAGTATATTACTGTTTTTATTAATAGATGGGAGGATAAATACTTGTAATCGTTATACACTTGGTAAGCTGGTTCTTATCAAGTGCATAACGACTACATCTTGGGAAGACTTATGTAAAGCTGGCCATTATTAACTTGAAGAAAACTGCACGTTGTTTATGCCCAAACCCACCGAACACGGGCACGGGTAGTCGGTCGTGGGTTTGCTCATGTCCAACAGACTGGCCACGGGTACTTTTCTGGGATTTTTTCGCGTTTGAGCGCATATAAATAGGGGACAGCTTCACATGACTCTTCCCGAGATGCATCTTCCTTGGCACCCAAAGTAAATAAATCAAACAAATTCTGATAATTTTTCTATAAACGCGATATTCACGTGGACATAATTAACTATCACGAAACTGGATACCCCACCCACTCCCATTGTTTCATTTTCACTTATTAACTGATAAACCTATTGCCCCAAACTTCCGTCATTTATATTGCTTAACGATGTTCTAATATCCAAATTAATGTGTGTGCAACGATGTTTTGGCGCAATGTAGAACTAAATGTCTTTCATATTTATTATTATAATGAATTTTCTTCGTCCAAACATTCCTGTAGTTGTATTCTATTCTGCATAATATGCACTTTATACACACGTCGAGTCTTACTGTCAAATCTGCATTCACTATTCTTATGCCACAATTTTCAAAACTTTCTTTTTTACTTAGATGTTTCTGCCGAGCATTATTTTTCAACCTGTTTTTACTAGTTTTTTTAAACATAAAAGCAATTATTCTTGCATTTTTACGGGCTTTTCATATTTAAACAAGTCTTATATCAAGTCTTCCGCCCGTTAAGGTTAGCAACTTTCATCGCGTGCTGGGCCATCACAACCTATCACGGATCACTTTTCAAATATTTTGGTTGAGAGTCTTCTCTTCCGGGACGAGATCAAATCTTTCACCCCTACTGCAACAGTACTTC